TAGGATCTATGCTGGCAGCACCGGGCCTGCTTGGGATTCTCTCTCTCCCTCTCTCTCTGCCCCTCCCCCACTTGCTCTCTCTCTCTCTCTCTCTCTCTCTCTCTCAAAATAAATAAACAAAAAAAATAATAAAATTAAAAAATTAAAAGAACCAAATTCCCAAAAGACTGGTTGATTAACCAGGATGCCAGTATATCCATTTGCAATTAGAAGTGTAATTTTCAAGCCACAATATTAGACTCTCTCCAATGGTAAGGAAAAGATCACTCTGGGAAACCAGATTACTTGAGTGGATAGGGGTTTCATGGGAAAGTGAGGAAGTACAGGGAACCATGAGCAAGTAGAGCATCCTGGACGTGCTGAGGACTGCTAGTGGACTGTTATCCTTTTGTGCACCTGCAGTCTATAATCTGTTTCTAACCAGTCTAAGAGGATGTTCTCGGCTATCCTAGTTAATGAATGGGTTTACAGGTAGGTAGGGGAATGAAGGCAGGGAAATAGCCTCTTCCTCTCTGAAGGATAGTGGAAGAGTCCTTTCGTGAAACCCTGTATAATGGAGTTGAGGGATTTGGGAAGTTCGGGAAAGACCTTTAGCTCCATTCTCAGTTCAGATACCTTCTCCAGAATCCCTCTCCTAATATAAGTGCCCATGCCACCCTCATCTATCCTTTTTTGCTCTTTTAAGACTATATTATAATGTTTGCATATGTCCATAACCTGTTACATTAGAATTATGTCTTACACATCTTTTTCTCCCCAATCCTGGCACAGTTCTGGCACACAGTTGGTATTCAATAAATGTATGTGGTATTAGCTAAAAATCTGTTGTTTTTGGAATTTGGCTAAAATTTGAAACATCACCATGCTTTCTCAGAATGTTACCTCTTCATTATAATCTTATTTTCTAAAGTTTGTTCATTTATTTTGAGAGAGAGAGGGAGAGCGAGCATGAGTTGGGGAGGGGCAGAGAGAGATAATCCCAAGCAGGCTCTTTACTGTCAGCGCAGAGCCCCCCATCTGGGGGTCAATCTCATGAACTGTGAGATCATGACCTAAGCTGAAATCAAGAGTCGGACGCTTGCTTCACTGAGCCACCCAGACGCCCCTCATTATAATTTTAGTGTGAAGAGAACTGTAGAGGTCACTAGATCACAGCCCAACTCAGAGGGGAAGGTATTTGACTTCTGGCATCCTGTGCCCATTTATGGCCCTCCTGATCTCCTGGTTTCCGGTACCTTTTCTCTTGCACTTCCCTCCTGGGGGCCTCAGGGAAGTAGAACCCCCAAGACTCTGCCATATCTCAACCCAAAGACAGCCTTTACGAAAGAAAGCCTTTGTGTCTCATTGAAAGAATTTAAAAAAAATTTTTTAATGTTTTTTAGTTTTGAGAGAGAGGGAGAGAGAAAGAATGAGCAGGGGAGGGTTGGGGGGGGGGGTGTGGGGAGAGACACAGAATCCCAAGCAGGCTCCAGGCTCTGAGCTGTTAGCACCAAGCCGGATGGGGCGGGGGTCCTCTAACCCACCAAAGTGAGATCACGACCTGAGCGGAAGTTGAATGCTTAACTGAGCCACCCAGGCGCTCCAAAAGAAAATTTTCTTTACTTTGTGCCTATTCCTTCCTGCAGACCCTTCCCCAGATGATGGTATCTTGATTTTAGTGAGGAGTTATAGGAAGGGAGGGGAGGACCCTGCCTACGTGCCTGGAGCTCTCCAAGCCGGACGCCAACTTCCACGCCTTGCAGAAAGAAGGCTCCAGGCTCTACACAAGCACAGCGCTCCAGCACCACGAGTTTTGCAGGCCCCAACCCACAGAGCCAGTTGCTGAAGCCGCTGCTAGGGCAATGAAGACCGAGACCCTTCTTAAAAAAAACTTTACAAAATTATTTTAATTACTGTGCGGACCTTGTAACTCGATCAAGGCACAGTCATCTGTACTCTCCTGCAGCAAATATTCTTGAAATCCCACCAGTGTATGCGTGTCTCTCCTCTGCCCTTATTCAATCCCAAGCAAATGGGTATCCTTATGAATGTCCTCCTGAGAGCACGGGAAACCCTTGACATCGGTCCCTCTCCTTTTCACTACTTTTTGTATCTCATTAGAACTTCTAGCACGTAATTATTTTTCAGTAGTTTTGGCAACAGGGCAAGAAAGAGGGTGCTAAGCTTGGCTGTGGCCAGGAGAAATATTTAAAAGAGTATTTACCTTCCATTTGGTCTAAACCAGTCATTCCCAAACCTGCTGCTCATTGGAACCACCCTGGGGAACTTTAAAAACTAATGATGCCTGGATGTCAGCCCAGAGGTCTGATTTAATTGATCTGGGATGCAGCCTGGACATCTGGCTCTGTGTGTGTGTGTGTGTGTGTGTGTGTGTGTGTGTGTGTGTGTGTGT